GCTAAGGAAATAATGTTAGAGGTTGCATCTTCTTGTAACACTTAAAATTCAGTAATGATATTAACGTGTTTAGCAAAAAAAAAAAAAAACTAAACTGGAAAAGATACGAGATTTCATTTTAAACCGCATGATTCCCCAATTTAATCTGGACTCTGAAACTATATGTGGGCTCAAATTCAAGTCTGGGTCAAATTCAGATTTCTTATGGGCTTATAATGACCCAAATTAAAGAATATTACGACTATTTCTTCAACTCAAGAATTATAATGTTTTAAAGATGTGATATATAGCCTCGAGAAATATTGGTTTGCATATATTTATGTGGAATCGGTGAAACATTAAAAAAATTAAAACTAAAATTTTGAAAATCAGAAAAATAAAAAAACAATCAAAGAACTAAAACCTCTTAATCAATCATGAAGATAGAATAAAGTACATAGACAAGGTAATAATCTTTACTCTTCAATAAAATTTTCATTAGTTTATTTACTTTATTTGTATTTCGTACAGTTCGATTTTGATTCAAATAATTTATTATGGAAAATTTATGTATTCATTTAGACTATTGTATAATTTAGTTTAAGTTTAGATTGATGAATTATGATTTGGTTTGATTTATGTATCTTCTCTACCATTTGGTGAAACATATTTTTCTACAAAATAATTACAAATTCTAATATCCAATGTAAATTTGTATGTAACAATCTTCTATATATTAATAGAGGAGACATTAGGTGAAAAATCTTATATGTCAACTAAAGATGATTTTCATGAACTATTTTTCTAATAAAAATTATTAAAAATTATTAATGACAAATATATGGAAATAACGAATATGTATTAATTAATATAAATAATTTTATTTAAGGAGTATAGAAAATATTTTCTTTTCTTTTCAATAACTATTATATATTTTGATCCGAGTCAAACGCGGGATTAGATTATTCAAAAACAAAAATTCAAGATTATTTTTATTAGATGGGATAAATTAAAAATTAAAAATATAAAATATATTATGTTTGATCAAAATTTAATTTTATTACATTTATGCACAATACATATCATTTTTGTACGTTTATAAATGTTAGAATACACGCATAAATATTAAATTCGATTAAAAATATATTTAATTATTTAATTCCACGCTTGGCGTGAATCAAAATCTAGTTATACAATAATAAACTATATTAGTTTCATAATATAAATCCTAGTAATGTTTTAAAGATGTGATTTTGACTTCTCATATTAGATAGAATCAATCCTTTTTTCCTTTCTGCAGCTAAGATTTTTGGAAGTTTTGGGCTTTGTTAAAGCCTACTTACTTTCGTTATATTCACATAATTTCACATCTGATTATGAAGCATGTACAATGACAATAGAGATCATTTGCATTCATTTCTTTTTTTTTTTTCAGTTGCAACAAATTGTCTTTTAAAAATAGGGACAATTACAAAAATGCCACTTTTTGTGTGCACATTTGCAAAAATACCACTTAGGGATACCCATTTGCAAAAATACCACTAATTATAGATTTATAAAGCCTATATCTTAAAATTCTAAACCCTAAAAAATGTTTTAACCCCTAAAACCCCATAAACCCTCATAACTAAACCCTAATAGAACATAATTAACCCAAACATAAATGATATAAAGAAAAAATAATTTTGAAAAAGTGGTATTTTTGTAAAGATTTCAAAAATATGGCATTTTTGATAAAGTGGCACTTGAAAAGTGGCATTTTTTAAAATTTCTCTAAAAAATACTATACTTTTTGCTAAATATAACAATTTTCGATTCGATAAGCATTAAGCAAACGAGTAAATTTTCTACATTCGTAACATAATTGGTATATTCCTAACTTCCCTTACCTACGAAGGACCTCGTCTGTGGGACCCACTTACTCAC